AGGAACACAGTAGGAGCTCAATATGGTAGTTCTTACTACCTGGTCAGAAAGTTCTGCACTGTTCTCTCCTAGCCCTATCCAGGCCCTCCCTGACCCTCTCTAATTTTACAGATACTTTCAGTATTGGCTGTTTCAAAGCTTCTCTACTAGAATTATTCAATATTGAGAAATGAACTAATGGCTCCTTAACAGCTCTAATGAGGTAACAGTATGTCATGTAAAAAATGTATGTTTAAGGAGACATCTGGGTGTCTCAGTGGTTAAGTGTCTGCCTTCATCTCAGGGAGTGATCCTGGGGTCCTGGGATCAAGTCCCACACTGGGCTCCCCACAGGGAGCCTGCTTCTCCCTCTGCCTATGTCTTGGCCTCTCTCTCTCTCATGAATAAATAAATAAAATCTTTTAAAAAATGTACATTCAAGAATATTTTTCCTCTACCTTTGTAATTCCCTTTAGTTACCCTCAATCTATGTATCAGTTAACTTTGATCTTATAAACTTAACAGAATAATATGCAGAACAAAAGGAAACATAACCTACCATATCTATCCCTTTACATCTTACCTCAGAAAAATGAACCAAATCCTACCAAGAGAACTACACTCAGCAGTCCTCTTAGGTGGCCAGCCATGAAGTGAACAGTGTTTCTGTGGAGTTAGCCACGCAGAGGAACAACCACCTGCTGGAGGCCCAAATGTGTATTTGAAACCAAATCCATCTCCTTCCCAAATATATGCCAGAGGAGGGTTACCACTGTTGGGCTGGAGGGAGAAGGTGAACACTATCGTTACAACCCCCTTCCACTACCTCTCTTCCTCAATTCTGCAAGTTGAAAAGGAAAGAGTAGTTTGTAAGAAAGTGTGGGCAGCAAATGTAGGCTTTCTGATCACTTATTCTCTTCTTAACAACATTCGATCTAATTTGTTATTTTAAGCAGCTAGATTTTTAATTGAACATTACTGACCAACTGCTACTGAAGAAGGGGGCTTGTTTGAATTCTTATCCTCCCCAGTCTACAGGCAGCATTCGAAACTCTCCTTCCACGCCTGATAAAATACAATATTCTCCTGATTCTCCATTTTATTGCCTTTACTTTCTCCTCTCTGTTGAAGTGACACTCTTAATTCTCCTGTTAAAGGAGGTGATTCCTATTAAAGGAAATGGTTCTCTGATCTTTTCTCTCCATACATCCTCCTTCAACAGTTAAATCTATGCCCATGATTTCTACTTTCTTAGCATGCATCATCTGAGAACCTCTTTTTCTCCCTAAACCCATTCATGATTTCAAGCTCCATGGTCATTTCCAACTGCTTAAATGTCCTGCTTCATTATATCTATAAAACCACTTCTATGTCCCACCCCCAAGCCCCTACTTCCAAAAGAGGAGATCCTTCTCTGCACTTTCTATTTATATTCATGACCTCATCATTCTCCTAGTCACACATGCTAGGACCCAGTGTCATCTTTGACCCTCCCTTCTTTCTAACATTCCAAATACATTCAGCTCCTAAATCTGATAAATTCTACCTCTATAATGTCTCTCCTATCCTACTGTATTTCTATTACCACTATTGTAATTCAGATATTTACCATTTTCCACACAAACTACTCCAAAGACTCCATAATTGGTGTCTTTCTCTATAGTCTTCCTATTGTGAAGTTAATCTTTCTAGGCACATCCCTGATCATGGTTCCTTGGTGAAAAACTTCCAGCGAGTTCTTACTGGCTAACAAATTAAATCCAATTGTCAGGGAGGTACTCCAGACTTTAGATTCATCTTTCTTTCAATTTTGCTTCCTATTCTTGTCTCTGTCTCCATCCATCCATCCATCCATCCATGTTGGAGCCAAATGGACTTCACTTTGTACTTTGGGGTTTATGAAGTTCCATCTAAAATACCTCTACTTAGTCTTTTCACCAACTTCATACCCATTCTTCAAAGTTAAATTTAAATGCCATTTTCTCTAAAGTACTCTCACAACTTTTGCAACAGATAATATTTACTCCTTTCCTCAAAACTTTTTAGAACTTTATATATACTTCTGCATCTTTGTATGTGGGCATGTTAAAAATTTATTAACACTTGAAACTGCTTTTACCTAAGACCTTAAGAGCTCTGAAATCTCCCCCTCTAATCAAATTCTCCTTTCTTCCCCTACTCCCACTAAAACTATTTTGAGCTCAAAGAGACTTTGACTTTTCAATAAGCAATAACCTATGATACAGAACTATTCTCCTAGTCTATTGTTTTCTTACATTAACATTTGGTCATCTCTCCATCTTAAATCCCAATTACAGCATTTTAATAATAAGGATATCCATCTCCACCTGGATGTTCCAGACATTTCCGATTTAGCATGATGGAAACTAAATTATTTCCTCCCACACAAACTTACTTCTCTAATGCTCTATGAACTAATTAAAAATCTTGGTTCTTCACTCACTGCACACAATCGATCATTCAAGATATACTGAGACCATCCTTAAATCCACAAACTCTGTGTCCCCAAACTCACTGCCAATGAAGATCTCATCACTGTTTATCTCATTGGTCCTTTCTAACTCCAAAAGTCCTACTTTCAATTCATTTTCTGTTACAACAGTTAAATAATCTTATTTTTTTTATGGTTAAAGAGTTTTTATTTAAATCTTCCTTAAATACATTTCTGAAAGTGCACATTGTTCAGCTGGAAAACTTTCCAGGACTGTATTATTTCCTATAATACAATAAGCTCCCAAGCATGGCATTCAATCCTATTACCTGCCCATTCTCCAAACAGATCCTGAATTAAAGACACTAAAATATATTCTCATTTACTCTCATGCAGTCACTATTCCATGGCTGTTGAAATAGTTTACTTAAGTTCAGTTCACCAACTCTGTGAAGACTACAGTAAATTTCCCCACCTCCCAAACAAGAACTGAGGTACTTCCTCTGTATGTCTATGGCACTTTGTATATGAAACTAAAAGACCTCTTATCATTTGATATTACACATATAGTCAAATGGTCCTCCTCCTCTAGTCTGTGGGCTCTCTGTAACAACTTTGTTTTATTTATCTTTACATCCACAGTATACAGTATGGCACATAAAAAGCTTTCGACAAATGTTTATGAAATAAATCTAATTTAAGAATGCCGAAAATCAATCTATCCTCGGTATCTTATCAATTAATTTAGAGTAGAAATGGTAGGAAAGTAGAGATAGATCCTAAATATACAGGTAAAATGAAAACAGAAGGTGACTCCAGGACATTTGCACCAGTTCCAGAGCTTAGGGCAAGAACACAAGAGCCGCTGAGGCTATGTTTCTCTCCTCATCACTTCTCGCCCAGATAATAGAGCCATGCTAGAATAAGAGAACTATGGGGAAGCAATCAAGACAGCACAGAAGTGCAGGGAGTGAGGGAGATGAAGCAGTGAGGAGGAAAAAAACAAAAATTCTAAACTTAAGCTGCAAAAAGGGAAGCATCTAGGGACACAAACGACAAATGCAGGACTTGCTCATGACTGCTCACTCTCATCACCAGCACTGCTCTCACTACCCTCAGCTACAGTTACCATTTACTGGTCACTCACCCACAGGGGCCAGAACTCTGCTGAAAACTGCCACCTATACCACTTAATGTTCACGACAATCCTATTAGCAAGGTATTATCCACATATTAGAGATGACAAAACAAACCTAAAAACTAAGAACTATACTGCCCAAAGTCTGTAGCTACTAAGTGTTAGGTTGCAGAGCCAGAATGTGAACAAAGATCAGGTTTAAAATCCATTCTCTTTCGGTTTTACTCTTCATGAGCCAGGAGTGTAAGAGGTGTACATATGTGGGCACTGGCTTTACTGCTTTATATTACTCAGTTATCTTGGTAAGCACATGTTTGATTTTCTCTAGTATGAGTAAGGTATTTTTGAGGGTAGAGTCTAATATTTTTTATTTCTTCCCTTGTATTTCATAATGAGCTTTCTATATAGTAATACTCAGCATTTGACTAGTTTATTATAAATTATGTACTAGTAGAAATAAAAAGAAGGTACATCAACCATTAGCTAGCATTAAGGTGAATTTAAAAAAAAAAAGATGATTTAGCTCCTTTGACAACTCTACATGCTGGTGTAAGACTTTAATCAATAGTAATAGTCCCTTAAATACAAACCGCAGCTATAAAACTAAGGACAGTTTGCATTTGATGTAATAATAAAAATCCCAAGATATATTGCTCTTTTCTTCATATATGAGTATAAGGATAATAATTACTAGGTGTACTCATAGATTGTATCAAGCATGTGAGCAACATACTGAAAATGTGGAAATAAATATGCTCTAATTAACGGCAATTTATTTCCCTTATAGAAAAATGTAAAAACATGTCGGAGTGGATGTGTATCTTCCACAAAGGTTGAGTTTTATACCAATGTCAGTACATGAAGCAAAAATCAATTAGAGACAAAATAATCCTTGAAAATGCCTTAGGTCATCCTTAAAGCAAAACATAATACAGTAGCAGCTCTCAATCCACCTTGGACACTTTTCCCCCTACGCAGACCAGATCACCATTTCTTCTGCTGTGTGCCACATCCAGTATTTGACTTCTGTTTAGGGGCCACACTGAATGAAAAAGCACACATTGACACACCAGACTGACATTCAACACTATAAATACTTAGATTCTGTGAGTTCCTATGCCAGGTATTTAGAGCCTGACTTCATGTGAGAACAGCAAATTCACACCTTCTGCCTCATGCTTACACTGTGTAAAGAGAAACAGAATTATTTAAATATTTAAATTATTTGGTGTTTTGCTTTTAGGTGTTTTGGGTTTGGGCTTCAGTCCAAAAATCTAAATTTCAAAAAATTATATTCACAGAATTGTGACCTTGTTTATCATCTCGTGTTCACCATACAGCCACAGATGCCTAGAATTTTAGGCACAAGTAATCTAATACCATAGTGTGTGATCTAAAAAAAAAAAAAATAAAGTAAGTAACCTGTGTTACCTTCATCTATCGATGCTTCACTACTGTAGCCATCATACTCCGCAGACAGAGGACTGTATTTTTGTCTTGTTTCCCACGCATAGTTCTTTTGTCTCGAGTCAGCCAATGGTAGCCTGGAATTGTGTGTTCTAGACAAGGCTTCATGATATTTACCCAGTGCTTCATCTTCACTTTCAGAGGATGAACCATGCTCATCTTTGTCCATGTAGGAATTATCTATTTGGAATGACAGGGAGAGCAAATCAAAATTTTAAGACAATAATGTATAATGATTTTGATACACACACACATGCACACAAAGAGATAGATGTCACATTTTTCCATATATACATGAATATACATACACAATAAATAAGTGTATTTAAATAAGTATAATTTTTTAAGAAGCCTGAAACTTTATATTTTCATATTTTTAATAGAAAAAGATAAATTTGTATATTCTAATTATAAAAAATGTTAATCTCAGGGATTTTCCAATCATGTTACAGATCAAGGAAATAACAGAACTCACCACCTTACACAATTTTTTTAAAGGATCAGTAGCACACAAAGAGACTTAGAAGTATTGCCAGTACATATGGCCCTGATTCAAATAATTCATGTTACTAGAAACATTGTGGTTATCATCTGGGTCCAAATTCTCAAGAATGATCATGCTTTGTGCTAGGAGTAGAACAGAGAAATGAGCAGACATATACTATTGGTGGAATTATCACTGGTACAACTCTTACAGAGATCAATTCAGCAATACATAACAAACTCTTAAATCTGCACATTCTGTGATTCATTTCTAGGAATTTACCAATCACATTTCTAAGAATTCGGCCTAAGAATTAACAGGTGAGCAAAGATATATAGTTCAGACAATTCACTGCATTGTGTTAAACAGCAATAAAAAACAAAAATAAAACACGATCTAAAGGTCCGTCACTGGGCCGTGGTTGAGTACATGATGATATATCTATGCAATGATGTAGTATACAGTCACTGCAAATGAGGAGGTGAACTTACAGGTACTCACAGGGTAGAATAACTACATCATGGTGAGAGAAAAGAGAAAGTTATAAAACAGAAGGTGTGCCTATATTCTCATTTAAGCACACACAGACACACTCCCACATGCAATACACAAAGACACATGCAGTGGATGTTCATATGCACATATGAAAATATGTGGAAGGATATAAGTTATCTTCTGTGAAAGGGGGAATTACTAAGAAAATTTTACTTAAGTATAACCAAATTTAAAAAAAAATTTTCAGGACATATAAAACTTGTATTACTCTTAAAATAATAGTTAACTAGTATAATAATAACGAGTTGCTACCATTTTTTTTTCAAGTAAAAATTCTGAAACTGCACTATGTTGAGGTTCATTTAAACTAAGATGCAGTCTTCTTAGAATGATAAACAACCCTGAAAGATACAGAAACCACAGCACATAGACTTTATTAGTTCAGTCTAGATACTTTTCTCTTTATAAACATTTGAGATCATCTATACTAAAGGGATCAAGGTTTGAAATTCAGGTGAGAAGACACAGAATAAGTAATTTTAAAATATGGTAGAGAAATGGTCTATTTACAATCAGAAGTAAAGGAAGCTTGGATGTCACTAGTCTAAGTCTTCCTTTTTAATTCAGTAAAAGGAAGCTATGAAAGGGTAAAACTGTGACCATTGTCGTATTCTGCACTGCCCAATGTGCAGTCACTAGCCACATGTAGCTATTCGATTTAAAATAATGTATTTTAAAACCCAGTTTCCCCAGTGCTACCAGCCACATTTCAAGTGCTCAATAGGTGTGTGTGGCTACTGGTTACCATGTGGGCTATATATGGAGCTTTTCCAACATTGCAGAAAGTGCTGTTAGATGGTGGTCTGGTCTAGAGCCTGGGCATGCTGACTCCCAGCTGAGAGCTCTTAGCACATGTGGGCTACCATGGTGGTGGCCTCTAAGAAGCAGGAGAGCTCTGAGAAGGGTAATTAGAAATTCTGCTGTCACACTTCGTCTACCACAAAATGTTACCTAAAGCAGTCCTGCATTCAGAAATATAGAAGGAAACATTTCTATCTCTCTCTCTGAGAGAGAAAGCTCTCATAGAGAGCTCTATGAACAAACCTAGAACACAAACACTAGTAATACTGATACTACTATAGTTCAGCTATATGAAGAAGTAATCTACATGTCAAATGATTTCCAAATGATTTTTAGAACATAATATGCTGAAGTTTAGTACTGACCATAATCCAGAATACCTGAGAGATACTTGGGTTTTTTTAGGAACCAGCATGCTTCCGAATGAAAACAAATCAAAACAAAATTAACTCTATACTGCTACTTGTGTAGCATTTATTATTACTTTCTACTGTTATTTTCTGAATAAAATAGGTATTTTACTTTATTTTGTTTATTTCTTTCTTCTTGCTACTTCAAATAATAAGGCTAACAAAACCAAACCAACGCTACCCAAAACCACTGAATTTGATAACTGAAAAACTGCTAGAAGAATAGACTCACTCCAACAGGGACATATTTCCAAAAACTAGCTTTCTTTTTTAATTAGTCTATCCATCCCGGATCAGCCTCTACAATATCACTTAAAAATCATTTATATAATTGATAAATAGCAGAGCCTGATTATGTATGAAGTCATGCAGAACTGAAAATCTTCCTCATTTATACTGCCACTCAGATTTTTGCTATTTTTATAAGAATCTAAACTTATAGAACAATGTCAGATACATATTTTTAAAATAAAAGCTGGTATACTTTTGGCTTTTTGATCAGATCGACAATAAATGGATATAAGTGAAGGATTATCAGTAGTAATCATTAGTACTATAAAGCAATTCTGCAACCAAACCAAATAACTGTTAGCTCATTATTTTGAAAACTGTCACAAATATTGTGGTTGAAAACTATAAATGATTAAATGGAATCTTAGTTCTACATAGAGAACTCATGAAAAATAATAGATTGTTAAAAAAATAATAGATTGTTCACATATGCTCACTGTAACACAGAAGTCATATAAAATCCTTAATATGTGGCTAAATGAATAGACACATAATCTGAAGCATGTTATTCAATAAAATAAATTCTAGGGGTGCCCCGGTGGCTCAGCCAGTTGAGTATCTGTCTCTTGATTTTGGTTTAGATCATGATCTCAGGGGACTGAACCCCACACCAGGCTCCAAGCTCAGTGCAGAGTCTGCATGTTCCTCTCCTTCTCCTCCTCCCTCTGCTTCCATTCTCCCTCTCAAATGAATAAATAAAGTCTTTAAAAATAAATAAATAAAATAAACTCTATTGTTCTAAAGGGAAAATATAAAACACTTGATACAGATTCTTATTGGGATAGACTCAAAGGGCAAAATAGTATAAAGGTCTCAGGGGTTAGTTAACAAAATTATAAAATTTTAAAATTCAACTATAGCATACTAAATACACTCCAACTAAAGAATGCGTACTACTTAAGAAACTATGTAGTTTATGGTTGTATAATAAACAATCATTAAGAAAAATTAGGGCCACTGAAAAATTGACCAAATTTTTAGTGGTGTACAAAGAACATTAATGCTTTCAAACTGATTGTCAGGAAAAAAAAAAAAAAAAAGAATGACCTTAAAAGCATCTCCCAATAAGAGGATTCAAGAAAATCTTAAATTAGATATATACACATGTAGAGGAGAGTTTGGAAATTTGGATTTTTTTTAACTTAAAAAATCAAGGAGAAAGTTTATCACTTAAACCCACATTAGGAGACCTCACCTTTTCCTGGCATTAGATTAGAATATTTTTCATCTTTACTCCTTGCTGTTCCTTTGTGGGCAGAAATGGCTTCATTTTTCTTTATTTTTATGTCTCCTTTCACTTTGTAATATGCTGTTGGATTTATTTGTTCTTTGATTTTTCCATGTAACTTATCTTGAGAATTAGCTGATAGTGCTGGATGTATGTCTTCTTTCATAGTGGGTTTCTGTATCGTATGTCTGTTGCTTGCCAAAATATCTTTTGGAGAACACTCATTTCCTGACCACTCATTCCCTTTAGATCCTTTACTTTTAATATGTTTTTCAGCTTTCTTTAAATGATTTTCTTTCATTTCTTGAGATCTTACCTCCTTTAAATTCTTACCATTATCAGGAATTCCTAATCCAATTTTTTTACATCTGTCAGTACGTTCAAGTTCTTGAGAAGCAGATCCAGCCCTTGCATTCTGCTTGATAACTGAGATCCCACCATCACTCAAGTGACCTTTCAAAGAAGAATCACTACCAGCATTACTGCTGTCTTGAGGTTTTGGTGGAGACTGTTGCCTACCATCAATATGTGTGAATACTCTTTCTTCATTCATTCCTTGATCTTGCTTTTGTGAAACTGAAGTATTGTAACAACTGCTTCGATTTGCTCTGTGCTCTAAACTGGACTGTGTTTTCTGACAGTTAGTGTCTTTGGAGACTTCTGGTGACACAGCATTTCCTTGTTCAGAAGCATCTGCTACAACTTCTGCTACTGCAGAGCTTTCTTCTTCTGGGCGAAAGCCATTTATCATATTTGTTACCTGTTCAGCAACCGAGTCAGTTAGAGTGTAGCCGACTTCCCCGACAGCCGCGGTTAGGTCCTCTACAGCATTACTGATCGTGTCCACCAGAGAAGACACTGAAGGCAGATTCTGCTGGAAAGTTTTGAAAAATGCCATTTTCTAATCCCTTATTCCTAACAGATGTGATAATGGAATTTCCTCTTCTCAAAATATCAACCACTTTGGAATCTGAATTTAAAATTGACTTAAATGTTGTTACTCATGAGCTCAGTATTATTATTGTGCATTGTGGCTTTTAATCTCTCTGTAAATGCATTATGCATTGAAAGAAACACGTTGAAGCAAAGACTCTTCCAAAAAAAAAAAAAAATCAAACCACTTGGCTTAAATGTAATGACATTTTTTCCCACTCCATAGCTATCATAACAGCAGCAAGACAATATTTTCCCCTCAAATACTACTGGTTTTTTATTCTATACCTGCAAGAAGAAGTATAAAAAGGATTTTTATTATGGACTTTTAGTTTACTTACTGAGAGTCTACATAGGGGAACTACCCTATATTATTAACAAACTACCAATATCATTTCAAATTAAGACAACTATTAAGGGGGAAATATCTAAGCAATTTGTACAGAGGTCAGAATAGAGGAAAGAGCAGAGAGTAAACATCTGCAGAGTGGCTACCAAATGCAAGGCATTGTGATTTACAAGTCTTATCATACCTGATCTTACAACAACTCTAAGAGGTAAATATTCCTATTTAATAAGTGAAAAAAACAAGGCTCAGAAAAAGAAGATTCCCAAAACCTCTCCAAAAGGATCCTCAACACCAGAATTACTTTTCTAATAACAGTGAGAGGATATTTAACTTTTTCATTTTCATTTGCTCATAAATGAAAACTGGAGTTTTTTAAAGGGTACACGGCCGACTGAATGCAGAAGCAGATAGGAGAATAACAGCTGGTTCTTCTTTGCCAGTCATTAAAGAGATTTGCAAAAAATATGAAACAGTAGCATTCTTCACACCATTTGCGGGGGGAGGTAGAAAATATATAGTTTTTTAAGTTAAAAATATTACTTATGTTTAAAATGTATGTAATAGGCTTATTGGGGTTTTGTGGGGTTTTTGTTCCAAGTTCTTATTTAAATTCTAGTTAGTTAACATGTAGGGTACTACTGGTTTCAGGAGTAGAATTTAGTAATTCATCACTTACGTATAACACCCAGTGCTTATCACAACATGTCAGTGGGTTTTTTTTAAACAAATAAATTGATAAGAATATTTTTTGATTTTCTCAGTTTTAATTTCTAATATGGTATGTATCAATAGCTATAACTCACATAAACAAAAGCTCTTTGGGGTCTTCAATAATTTTTAACAGTGTAAAGGAGTCATTAGACCAAAGAAAAACCAGAAATGCTGAATGAGGGGACTCCTGGAGGCTGCCTAAAGAGATACCTTTAACCAGTTCAACTCTACACAAATGATCAAAAAAAGCAAGACTGAACTATGATAAATGTTAAACTTAAATCAAAGTCACAAAAGCACTAGAGTTTCCTGATGCAAAAGTCATAGATGTAATTCAATAACCAACAGATTTTTATAAACTTTCTAAGTTACCAGAAGTAGAAAAAAACCTCTCTCCAAAACAGTACATGGAAAAGAAAAGCCAGGTTTTTCTGCTAATGCTCTCCAACATTGTTCTAAATTAAACACCTTGCCTTTATAATTCTCAACTTGCTTCTGCTACCATTTATATAAGCCTGTCTTTGGAAACAGCAAATAAAGAACTCTTAAAATAATATTAAAAAATTAACTCCAGGGATCCCTAGGGGGCTCAGCGGTTTAGTGCCTGCCTTCGACCTAGAGCGTGATCCTGGAGGACCGGGATCGAGTCCCACATCAGGCTCCCTGAAGGGAGCCTGCATCTCCCTCTGCCTGCTTCTCCCTCTACCCCTCTCTCTGTCTCTCATGAATAAATAAATAAAATCTTTAAAAAAAAATTAACTCCGAGAACACTTTACATGAAAGAAAGAACAAAATTACAGCCCTCATCTCTCCTAGTATCTAGTAGTAATAAGTGATAGAAGGTGATATAATGCCTATAGTACCAAGAGAGGGAGAGGAACACTAACTTTCATAACCAGACTTTATCTATACCACTTTCTCCACAATAAAAGTATCCACCAGCTGAGAATACAACAGCAGAGAAAGAAAAAGAGTGAATACTTTCAAAAGTCTTTTATGGGAATATGAGAGAAAAGCTCTCTAGAGTTATCTGGACAGTAAGATTTAAGCTATACAGAGCAGAAAGTTCTATCCTTCTTGTTAAAGCATATCGACTCACATTAGTCTCAAAAGCATGCCTTAGATATGAAAAATAAAAATGTCATCTTCTGATAGTATACAATTCATCTCTGTGTGATATATTAACATTCATGAACAACAGAAAGAAAATTGAACATAATTTAATAGTTTTTTTTTACTCACACAAAGGTGGCTCGAATGTTAGTTTACAGAATGTCATATATATATATATATTTTTTTTACCATATATTTTTAAAAAAATAATGTAACAGAATGGTATAGATAAACAGAACGAAGAAGAAAAGCAGTAATGATACTTACAGCTTTTACCTTGTGAGTCCTTCCTTGTGATGGAGCCTGGACCAAGATCTGGAAACCCGCCAACATTTTCAAAACAGAACTTCTTATTAATATAGAGAAAAAGGAGCAGCATCAAGACAATAAACACCCCAACAGCTGACAAAAATCCAACTGCCTCTGGAGATACTAGAGAAAAAAAAGTCACAGCGGTAAGCATTTCTTCTTCTCTAAGCTACAAATAAGAAGGAAACCCTCACACATATGTTAGACTACTGCCTTAGTTGAATTATACTTTTTAACTGTCATAGTTTACATAGGTTTATAAGAAAAACAAGCTGCACAGCTTAATGGGCTGTTCAATTCATTTAACAGTACTTATTCAAATCTAAAAGTTTCTGTATAAATTATCCTGGAGCAATCTTAAAAGACAGTAATCTATAAAATAAATAAATAAATAAAATATGAAATATAAAATAAAATGAATATATTTAATCCATTTAAGAGTAGTACAAAAATTTTAGCACAAGAATTAGAAAAAATTACTTCCCATGCACAGGTATCTTAGCAAAATTTACAAGAACACATATTATTATTATCATCTCTAAAAGTTTCATTGGCCCGTTTTATTTAATAAACTCTGGACTTCTTGGCATTCAAAGCTCCACCCTCTTTTCAATATTACACTCCAATCAAATGGTGCCACTCACTGCCTCAGAATCAGTTATGTGCATTACCACACACTTTGTCTCTGTTCACCTCTTCCCCTTGCGTGGAATGACAATATCCTCTCTACGATATCCCACTCATTCAATCAACAAATATTCTGGACCAGCAGCCATACACCAGGCACTATCACATATACAGCTCCTGTCTTCTATGAACGGTCTGGTGAAGGTGTTTACAAGTGGTGGAACAAAGAACACAGAAACACTTAAGCCAATGTTGAAGGATCCAGTAGGCTTTTCTGAAAGTTATGGGCTCTATGGTTATATTCTAAGAATTATTAAGAGTTAGCAAGTTAACACCATCCCAGGAAGAAGAAATAGCAAGTGCAAAGGTCCAGAGAAAGAGATTACTGTATGTTCCAGAAACACAATGGATCTTGTTATAATAAACCAGATACTCAAGAGAATCTGATCTCAAGAGAATACATGAAATAATACATGGAGATTTTGTATAGGAAGAACAACAACAACAAAATCTGCAACGTCTTCAATCCTCAGGCAATCTCTCTTTCAACCTTTGCATTACTTGTCACCATACCAGTCATTTGGAGTTAAACGGGAACTATATGTTTTATCCCTCATGGCCTTACATTTAAATCTCAAGTAAAAGTTGAGAATGAATCCTAAGCCTCAGATACTCTCTACAACCTACAATCTACTCTTTTTTCTTCCACTGCTCCAGCAGCAGCTATAACGTCATCTCCTTCAAGATTCTTTCCCTAATCAGAAAAGCCATGGCAATTAGCATCTATAACTCATTTGTTTAAAATGAAGTCACCAACCAGTCCAATGAAGGACTGTTTTCATCTCCAAACTTTTCCTTATTTGTGAAAGTCAGCCATCCCAGGTGTAGAACAGATAACGACGTTATAGTCTATAACGTCATAGTCTATACAGTCTGTATTGTGACAGAGGATGGAGTAGAATGACATTGTCAGGGAAGAAAAGGGACTGAACAGTAGAAATGCCGTCTAAACATCAGGGCCGAGGAACAGATCCTGCTATTAGAAACAAGAAGTTATGCCCAGACATAAGCCCTGACTCTCGTTTTCAGGTTAGAGAACAGTTAGGGGGAAAAAAACCCCAGTATTCTAACTTAAAAATCTAAGCTGTATTATCAAAAGCAGTAGCATGCATCAAGCCTGAAGGATAAGGTAAAAATGAAAACAGAAGGATTATCATCAGCAATTCTAATAGCTAGGAAAGTCCGAAGCAGGACAGGATCTGATAAGAAAAGGCAAAATGCTTAATAAACTCATATTCAATATTACACTGTAAGCACGTATGTATAGGAACTCCCTCCCCTTTTAGCCCCTGGTCCAAAATAGACTTGCAAATTTGATACATTTAAGTGAACACACAGGGTTAGATAATATGCAACCTGAATATCTCCCATCTCTTAAAAGACCAAATGAGAGGAAACATAGCTCGCCTCACCTAAGAAAGCTAATTATTGCTGATAAAAATAGCAACAAATACATATATATTATATACTTGTGACTGCTTTAAGCACTTTACATAAAATTCTTAAATCTTCACAATTATACTCTTATCCCCATCATAAATTGTGATATGGAGATATATTAAATCACGTGCCCAGCTTGTAAAGTAGAAGAGTCAGGATCCAAACCGCTGTCTGGCTACAGGGCCTGTGCTTTTAACTACTGCTTCTCCCGTATTCCTTCTCTCCCCTTCTTGCCTCTTCCTATCTCATCTCAGTCCTTATTTCTATGTTTCTCTTTTCATCTCCCTCCCTCTCATGTGAAAATTTAACCTGGGTGGGGTGGGGGTGGGGAACCAGCTATAAAGAAGTATAATATA